CAAATCTGGATCAGCTCCGTTGTAGCCCCGTTTTTAGAGATTTGGGTACGGAGGAAAAGAGAGAGGGTTTTATTTACTGACGCTGCGTGAGTTCCCTGACACACCGGGGACACATATTTATGTTTAAAAGACATAAAAAAGTGCATTTTGCATGATAGGTCCCCTTTAAGATCTACTAGAAAATTCACCCACAGATTGGACGATCACTGTTTCTGCCCTAGTCACACACAGACACATTTATACATATGCACACATTCAAAGACACAACAGTCGATATACAAAATAACAGTCACTTCAAAATCTGTGAAAAGTGTACATTTAGTGCAAAACTGTCCATAGCAGCGTAATATAATAATAATAATAATAATAATAATAGATTACATTTGTATAGCACCTTTCACGGGACCCAAGGCCGCTTTACATGGTGAACAAACAAACAAACAAACAAAAGGGGCAAATAATAAAGTTAAAAAAAATATGCTCCCGAATCAAAAGTAGGTTTTGGGTTAATAAGAGAAATGTGGGTTAGGGGGTCTGTGATGGGAGTCTTATGGTGGCTGAGCCTTTGTCAAATCAAACAGGAAGTCTAATGTCATTCTGCTTGTTGCCCCCCCTGCGTCACAAACAAAGGGCGACCGCTGTGTGTGTGTGTGTGTGTGTGTGTGTGTGTGTGTGTGTGTGTGTGTGTGTGTGTGTGTGTGTGTGTGTGTGTGTGTGTGTGTGTGTGTGTGTGTGTGTGTTGGGAGGTCTGGGAGGGGACACCGCTGGGACTGGGATTGCAAAAGAGATGGAAAGGGGTCTGGAGGACGAGAAGTCGACGGGGTTTTTTTTGGGTGAAAGGCTTTGGACTTTACACTTAAAATCTTTATTCCTTTTTCCATTTTCCGTTTGCAGCTGTGAGTCAGCCTTCACTTTCCACTGAAAGGATTGCTCGCCAGAGCAAGGTGTGTGAGGTTAGCCATGGTCGCTCGCACGCACGCACGGTCGCACGCACGGTCGCACGCACGGTCGCACGCACCCCACGCAACGCACTCACGTCACGCAGGTCGCACGCACGGTCGCACGCACGGTCGCACGCACGCACAGTCGTTTATTTTAAAATGCATTAGCAGACATGAATGTTTTTGTCGTGTCGGCATGCTTTAAGTACGAAAGAATAAGGGTTCTGGCATATTCTTTTTTTAATGTTTTTATATTTCCTGAGCATCAACAGAGGCGTATAAATCATAACATTTAAAATATGAATACCAAACCTCCCATTTCGTTATGCTTCCTTAATAGAAAGAGTGCCAATCCAACACACTGATTTAATTAAACAAATGGACTAGTTAGAGCCCTGGGCACTTCCACTAAAGGTTTTAGTATTTGAACTGAACATTAACGGTGAAGAGCTGCTGTGTGCTAAGCAGATAACAATTTCAATGTCAAGCAGTGTTTAAATCTGTGGTGGAGCTTTAAACAGAAGAAGAAGATAATACAGCAAGTGAATCAGTCAACGTATTAATGAGAGTCCGTTAGGTAGAATAAAAGCAGCACTTGTAGTCAGTATTTCTGCACATTGGAAACAGTTATATTGTTTTTCCAGAGAACAACCGTCAATGTGTTAGAAGTATAAAACAATACAGGAGAGGAGAGAGAAGTATCTTGCACTTGAGTCAAAGTAGAAGTACCCAGATTGTGTACTTGAGTCAAAGTAGAAGTACCCAGATTGTGTACTTGAGTAAAAGTACTCAGATTGTGTACTTGAGTAAAAGTAGAAGTACTCAGATCTTGTACTTGAGTAAAAGTAGAAGTACTCAGATTGTGTACTTGAGTAAAAGTAGAAGTACTCAGATATTGTACTTGAGTAAAAGTAGAAGTACCCAGATCTTGTACTTGAGTAAAGTAGAAGTACCCAGATTGTGTACTTGAGTAAAAGTAGAAGTACTCAGATTGTGTACTTGAGTAAAAGGAGAAGTACTCAGATCTTGTACTTGAGTAAAGTAAAGTACTAGATTGTGTAGTAAAAGTAAAGTAGAAGTACTCAGATTGACTTGAGTAATAGTAGAAGTACCCCCAGATCTGTACTTGAGTAAAAGTAGAAGACTACTCAGATCTAGTACTTGAGTAAAAGTAGAAGTACTCAGATCTTGTTCTTGAGTAAAAGTAGAAGTACTCAGATCTTGTACTTGAGTAAAAGTAGAAGTACTCAGATCTTGTACTTGAGTAAAAGTAGAAGTACCAGAGTGTAGGAATACTCTGTTACAGTAAAAGTCCTGCATTCAAAATGTTCCTCAAGTCAAAGTAGAAAAGATTCTCATCAAAATATAGTGGAAAGTAGCGACAGTAAAGTAGTCGTTGTGCAGATTGGTCCATTTCAGAATAATATATATGATATGTTTTATAATGATTGATCATTAAAGTGTTCTCAAAGCTGGTAAAGGTGCAGCTAGTTTGAATGACTTTGTATACTGCAGGGTAGCTTGTGAATTTAACTCCAGGTGGAACTAAAGTCTGATTTAACACTTGATTATATTTCACATCATTCATCCACATCTGTGAAGTAACTAAAGGTATTAAATACATGTAGTGGAGTAAAAGTACACCATTTACCTCTGAACTGTAGTGGAGTAAAAGTTCACAGTAACATAACATGGAAATACTCAATTAAAGTACCTCAACATTTTACTTAAGTACAGTACTTGAGTAAATGTACTTAGTTACTTTCCATCGCTTTCATGAATATCTGGGCAGTATTTTTTCCCGTTATCAAACTGAACGGAAACACAACCTCCTTGGCTTTTGGCAATCTTGAGTAAGTGGGATTGAGTGATATAGAAATAGAAATGACCACACAAGATGTTAGTATCTTTGCTTTCACTTTTCCTCCTCCATTACAGTTCATTTCCCAAGAGATAATTGGAATATCTAAGTGACAAAATTGCAAAAGTGCAACTAAAAGCATTTCAAATGGTTGAAGCTTATTTTAATTAATAACTTCCATAATAATTGAGCATTTCTGGCCATCTAACACCTCTGTTCTGTTCCTGTTTTGCACCACTACTATTTTTAGTTTCTCTCATGTTGCACTGTGTTGATTAATGTTCCCTTCAGAAGCATCACTTTGACGAAGCTTGTTCCCCGGCAACAGAGGTGGGAAGTAGTGGAGTACAAATACTTCGTTACTGTACTTAAGTACATGTTTCTGGTATCAGTACTTTACTCCACTACTTATTTTTCTGACGATTTTTTACTTTGACTTCTTACATGTTGAACACAAATACCTGTACTTTCTACTTCTTACATGTTGAACCCAAATACCTGTACTTTCTACTTCATACATGTTGAACACAAATGCCTGAACTTTCTACTTCTTACATTTTGAACACAAATACCTGTACTTTCTACTTCTTACATGTTGAACCCAAATACCTGTACTTTCTACTTCTTACATGTTGAACCCAAATACCTGTACTTTCTACTTCTTACATGTTGAACACAAATACCTGAACTTTCTACTTCTTACATTTTGAACACAAATACCTGTACTTTCTACTTCTTACATGTTGAACACAAATACCTGTACTTTCCTACTTCTACATGTTGAACACAAATACCTGTACTTTCTACTTCTTACATGTTGACACACAAATACCTGTACTTTCTACTTCTTACATTTTGAACACAAATACCTGTACTTTCTACTTCTTACATTTTGAACACAAATACCTGTACTTTCTACTTCTTACATGTTGAACCCAATACCTGTACTTTCTACTTCTTACATTTTGAACACAAATACCTGTACTTTCTACTTCTTACATGTTGAACACAAATACCTGTACTTTCTACTTCTTACATGTTGAACACAAATACCTGTACTTTCTACTTCTTACATGTTGAACCCAAATACCTGTACTACATGTTGAACACAAATACCTGTACTTTCTACTTCTTACATGTTGAACCCAAATACCTGTACTTTCTACTTCTCACATTTCCCAAACAGGCTGGTTCCTTTAGTTTGAATGTGTGTTTGGTGGCGTGATCATTATTATTTAGAGTCATTGCGTGCCTATTGATTTGAACACGATCCGTGTATCCATCATTTTCCTGGTCTTCTCTAAAGAAGAGGGACCAATGAAAACGTTGTCATGTTGCCGTTGTTCAGCATGGAAACATTCATTAGCTAACAATGACATTATTGTTCTATTAATATAAAGGGAGGTCAGGTACTCTTTAAAACAGCTGCTAGTTATGGGTACTTTTTACTTAAGTACATTTCAACAGCCCTCTTTACTTTCACTTGAGTAAAGAAGTTTAGTCAGTACTTCTACTTTCACCAGAGTGTTTTTAAACACGAGTATCTGTACTTCTACTTGAGTAAAGGATGTTGTGTACTTGAAACCATCTCTCCCCGGCAACAGACATCACCCAGCCGCGCTTGAGATAGAGAAATGATGTTCTGGCACTTGCCATGCTGTAAATGCATGGTTTTTGTTGAATGTGCTTTGTCACAGTTTGTGACCCGCAGTGGGCGGCTGTACTTCCACTGGGTTTCTGTTCTGATGGCAAGCGTGGGGTGAAACCGGCACAAACAGATACTGTGGGCGACAATCAGGATGGGAGAAAGGAAGCAAAAGTGCCGCAGTGGGAGAGAAGAGCACTTAGAGACAGAAGAAGGACGTATGAGAAGAAAGAAAAATAGGTTTTTAGCAAAGTGGCTCAGCTGGATGTAGCATTTAGCAACTGGGTAATGGATAGAAACTTTATGTAAGACACACATAAGTGCAGGAATCATTTCACAAGTGGGTCGGAAAGTGTGTGTCTTTCTGTTTGACCTAGCTTTGTTGTCTGTTATAAGCTGTGCAGTTTGACCTATTGTGGACAAACAACTTCAATGCAGTTGAAGTCTATTTTTAGTGCAATGCCAGCGATGGAGACGCTGCTATGGGGTTCTTAGGTGGGAATTGTAAATGGATTGCATTTTTAAGGCACTTTTTCATTCTTTAAAACCCCTCAGAGTGTTTTTACATATACCTTTCACACTGGCTGCCATACAAGGGTGCCATCTGCCCAAGAAAACGTACATTTACACACATTCACATACCATTGGCGATGCCATTGGGAGCAATTTGGGATTGCCCAACGACCAAACAACCTCACACTGCAATATTCTGTCCAAATGCAATCTTTTACGTTTGGAAAATCTTGTTCTGCTTTCAAGAGTTCGATTGGTGTTCAGGATTATTTACAATGCTCCAACACCACCACTGAGGAGCTTTTTCCAGCTCATTCACGGCCATCAAACATCTCTTATGGTGCAAATAAATGGATATTAAGAAACCAGTCATGCCAACAGTAAAAATTAGCTAATTCTTTGCTTGATTTATGACCTCAGTAAACTTTTTCCTTTTTGTCAATTTAGAATACAATTGAAAATAAAGCAGCGTATATTTGTTGGGCGGGCTACCTTGTAAATGATGCCCTTGTCTGATTAGGGTGTTGTCACAATCTTAAACCCTTTCAAAGTGTGTTTTAAGTTCATCAAAGTTAACTATAACATTTGTGTTGCCTAAAAATGTATTTGGGTTACGCTAAGCTCCATCTTCTCGTCTCACTTCTGCTTCCAAAAGATGGTGAAACTCAAGGCTACTAAAAGCTAGTCTACAAACAAACAAGTGTCATTAAAGGTCACTTATTATGTAAAATCCTCTTCTTCATGTCTCTTCTACATCAACATGTGTCCCCTCTTCTTCATGTCTCTTCTACATCAACATGTGTCCCCTCTTCTTCATGTCTCTTCTACATCAACATGTGTCCCCTCTTCTTCATGTCTCTTCTACATCAACATGTGTCCCCTCTTCTTCATGTCTCTTCTACATCAACATGTTGTCCCCCTCTTCTTCATGTCTCTTCTACATCAACATGTGTCCCCTCTTCTTCAATGTCTCTTCTACATCAACATGTGTCCCCTCTTCTTCATGTCCTCTTCTACATCAACATGTGTCCCCTCTTCTTCATGTCTCTTCTACATCAACATGTGTCCCCTCTTCTTCATGTCTCTTCTACATCAACATGTGTCCCCTCTTCTTCATGTCTCTTCTACATCACCATGTGTCCCCTCTTCTTCATGTCTCTTCTACATCAACATGTGTCCCTCTTCTTCATGTCTCTTCTACATCAACATGTGTCCCCTCTTCTTCATGTCTCTTCTACATCACCATGTGTCCCCTCTTCTTCATGTCTCTTCTACATCAACATGTGTCCCCTCTTCTTCATGTCTCTTCTACATCAACATGTGTCCCCTCTTCTTCATGTCTCTTCTACATCAACATGTGTCCCCTCTTCTTCATGTCTCTTCTACATCAACATGTGTCCCCTCTTCTTCATGTCTCTTCTTCATCAACATGTGTCCCCTCTTCTTCATGTCTCTTCTACATCAACATGTGTCCCCTCTTCTTCATGTCTCTTCTACATCAACATGTGTCCCCTCTTCTTCATGTCTCTTCTACATCAACATGTGTCCCTCTTCTTCATGTCTCTTCTACATCAACATGTGTCCCCTCTTCTTCATGTCTCTTCTTCATCAACATGTGTCCCCTCTTCTTCATGTCTCTTCTACATCAACATGTGTCCCCTCTTCTTCATGTCTCTTCTACATCAACATGTGTCCCCTCTTCTTCATGTCTCTTCTACATCAACATGTGTCCCCTCTTCTTCATGTCTCTTCTATATCAACATGTGTCCCCTCTTCTTCATGTCTCTTCTACATCAACATGTGTCCCCTCTTCTTCATGTCTCTTCTACATCAACATGTGTCCCCTCTTCTTCATGTCTCTTCTACATCAACATGTGTCCCCTCTTCTTCATGTCTCTTCTACATCAACATGTGTCCCCTCTTCTTCATGTCTCTTCTTCATCAACATGTGTCCCCTCTGTGGAAAGAGACTCTGAAAGTTTCAGGAACAAAGATTCTCTCTCTTTTTGTCCTGATCCATTTCTATAAAAACCTGTCTGAAAACGAGCTGATCAGATTTTGGCCACTTTATGATGTCATAACGATGTTTTGGCTTGTGTAACCATTAGCCAATCAGCAACCAAGGTAACCCCCCCCCCCCCACCTTATCACCTGAATCTCCTCCTAGAGCACCATTGAGTTCTTTGTAACCAAATGTCTCTCAGAGGGGCGTGGGGAGGGGCTCCTTATTTTCATCTAAAGTAACAGACAGAGAATCAGCACTTTTGAAACAGGGCTGAAACAGAGGGGATTATGGGTAATGCTGCAATGATCTGTTTGGTGTTTCAGCCAATCAGAGACAGGCTCTGGATATATCTGAGACCTATAATATATTGATGAATAACAGTATATTAGGGGACCTTTAAATGATAGTGTGTGTTTCACCTGTGGCTGCGGTAGACGTTGAGCAGGATGATGATGAATCCCAGGCAGTAACACGCCAGCGAGGGGCTGCCGAAGAGTTTTGAGAGGGTGCGAGTACGATGCTCCCATCTGGCCACCTGACAAATGACAGAGACAGAAAACAGTGGTCGTGAGACGATGGTTTCATCTTTCAAAATGCATTACTAGTAATCGAAATGTAGTTGTTTTTGTCCCACTTTCCCATTCCTCTTACTAAAGAGACCAAGGGGGGGAAATCCAGAAAACTGACTGAAAACAAGCAGCTTTAAAAAACAAAAACATCAATGTATCCCCTTATAACGTGACTACTGTGAACATATTCATTAGGAAACATTGGTCTATTAACACATGCAAACACTACTGAACAACATTAGCATTTATTTGCTGTAATTTTTCCGTTACTCTGATAAATTTAAGTCCAATATTCACTCCAATTATTGCTCTGTTTTGGTCTACGCCTGCTCCTGAGGGAAAAATCTAGTTATTAAACTGCGAAAGGTTAATCTACAGCAGCTAGTTGCGTGACGTTCATTAGGTCTTTGTTGATATATATCTTTTCTTATAGCATCTTAAAGTCTTTGGTTGCTTGACTGAAATGATTGAGTTGCTTCCTCTGCTCTTTCTGATTGAAAACTCTTGGCATTCTCAATAAATAAAGAGCCTACTTGAGTGTGAAGACGGTTGTTTTGATGCTTTGACTAACATTGCTCTACCTATTCATTTATAACCTTGAACCCAATACCATTGCAGAGTTTTCTTACAATGACAAAGCAGTATTTGATTCAGGCATTCATTTCCGTTCCTCTCCTATTATTTAAAAAGCGAAGTTTCAAAAGTAATAGCTTTAGCATTTATATAAAAGCACTCTTACTTCCTGTCACTAAGGACTGTAAGCACCTCCATTCATCCAGAATTTAGGGGAAAGTGAGCGTTTAATGCAGTGATTGGTGTATTTAACCCTCCTGTTGTCTTCGGGTCAAACCTGACCGATGTACTACTTTCATCAATCATAACTTTTTTGTTTACATTCGATTGCATTAAGGCTTTATGATATCCTTCACAGTAGACATTTGAACATATACAATTGCTGATCACCACTTTCATTGAGTTTTGGATGATTTAGTCAACTTTGTAACATCCATGGTGTTCCCGTTGACCGCCATGAAGAAAAGGAATTAGTAACCATCCAGATCAGATAAAACACGCACGCACGCACGCACGCACGCACGCACGCACGCACGCACGCACGCACGCACGCACGCACGCACGCACGCACGCACGCACGCACGCACGCACGCACGCACGCACGCACGCACGCACCGCACGCACGCACGCACGCACGCACGCACGCACGCACGCACGCACGCACGGCACGCACGCACGCACGCACACACACACACACACACACACCACACACACACACACACACACACACACACACACACACACACACACACACACACACACACACAACAAACCACACACACACACACACACACACACACACACACACACACACACACACACACACACACACACACACACACACACAACACACACACACACACACACGTCTCGCTCTTATGTACCCATCCCCCCACATGGATCACACCTGGCACACGCAATACATGTTCAGTGTCTATTCTTTGTATATGTACAGCAGTTGTTCATGGATACCAGTAGTCTGATACAATATGTACAGTTTGAAAGGGTGTTAAATTAAATTTGGTGATGATTAATGGTTTTTGTGTTAATGTAATAGCAGTTAAAATAGGACCGGTCAAATTTGACCGCGAACACCAAAGTAAGGGGGGGGGGGGGAATGAAGGCAATAGGAGGGTTAAGAAAGCATAAATTGATCATTAGCATTGATTAGCAACACAGTGAGTGAAATATGGACAGAAAAACAGAATAAGTCTTTTTTTTGTGGATGCAAACATGGACTAGATGGAGGGGTCTTTAAATAAATGGCTTACGAACACTCAGACAGAATAATGACGTCTGAAAGAAACCTAGAGTGTTTTTTTTTTTCTGTCAATCCAAAATGACCGAATCCATCAAGAAAACAAGCTCCACATAAACATGTTTTCAGCCATTATTCTCGTATTATAGGAACTAAATACGATAGAGGGTATCTAAAGAGTGCAACAGCAAATAGGTGATTATATCTTAAGATGTGTATTTTTAGAGGATTTCTTGATGTGTTTCCCCTTTTGGCTTGTCAAATCTGATTTTAAAGTGCCTCTTCGTGATTTACAAGTGATTGGATTCGTGTATTTGGAGAACAACATCACTAAGGGTCCGCACCAGGAGTTTTAAGATCCTTCCAGATAGAAAGATAATAACAGCTATATGCACTCACATGAAATACACAATATAACATGTGCTTTTCCATGAACCTAAATTAACAAAATAATAAAAATAATCATGCCTCAGAGTCTATATAATAGCTGTGTAACTGTGAGCAGGGAGATGTATGCAATGGGAGGAGTTACAGTTGAAAATAAAGCTGGACTGTCCATGAAAAATGACCCAAAATCAGACCTTTTTTGGCACTTTTCATGCTCTTTTCAGACGGTCCCTAACTTGACCTCGTAAAATTGAACTGACCCTGGGCCCCAAGCGATAATACCTGATATTAAAGTGGACCTATAATTGCTATTTTTAGGCAATAGCATAGGTCTCAGATATATAAAAATATATAAAAACATGTCTATGAAGTGTTTTGCTCTAAATACCAAACAGATCACCCATTCTAGCCATGCCTCATATCCCTCTATTTCACTTCCTGTTTCAAAAGTGCTGATTTGGGGTATAAAGCTTTAAAAAATAAATTTGATAACAAATAAAAAAGGAGGGGTCTGAGCTCATGCGGTACCCGGCAGCTACCGTCTAAACTAAATACTGCGGTGATGAAACGCCATATCATGGATTATCAAGGGTTATCTCTGAAACAGTATGGAGCTCAAAGGCTTTCTCTCTTGCCGGTTATACCACAAGGTGAGTTCCTTTTTATTTCCTGCTTCTTCACACACATGCTCTCCAGTACAGGTTAGCTCTGAGTGTTAGCGATGCTAATGTAAACACCGACCATATTACGTCCAAAACAGTCGGGCATTGTTTCTGATAGCAACATTTCTGATAGTGCCGTGGGTCCACATTTCAGATATTACGTCATATCGGACGCAAATCTGGATCAGCTCCGTTGTTCCCCTGTTTTTAGAGATTTGGGTACGGAGGAAAAGAGAGAGGGTTTTATTTTCTGACGCTGCGTGAGTTCCGTGACACACCGGGGACACATATTTATGTAGAAAAGACATCAGAAAGTGCATTTTGCATGATAGGTCCCCTTTAAAGTGGACCAATCATGCTATATTTAAATGATATATTGTAGGGCCATACCTATATAAGGTATATTTATACCAAACAGATCATGCATTTTAGCCATGCCTCATTTCGCTCTATGTGCTGTTTGCTGTCTACGGGTCTGATTCTGCTGACCACGCCCCCCTGCAGGAGAGGGGAGACGTGCTCTGATCAGCTGCTGGGCTGTCAGAAGAGGGGGAGAAAAAGAGATCTCCGTCCTCCTGTTTTATTATATAGAGTCGTTATTCATTTGTTTTAAAGCTCAATAAATAACAAAGAAGACCTTTGACCGGCACTTTTCTAATTTTGTCCGGAAGATTTAAACTTTAACAGACATCTTGACCGGCGAAACAAACTGAAACTGAAACTCTGCCGCACGGTCCCCTCGTTCCTTGGAAGAGGCGGAGAGGTGGGTGTTTGTCATCTGCTGCTGGACTAACCGGAGAGAATTACAGTGCTTGCCTCGACGGGGAGGGATTGCATTGAATTAAAGCAGCAGGAGCAAACACTTGCCTCGGGGAGGGAGAAAAAAAGCCACAGCGGAGAATAAACAAAAGGGTAACCATGGTAACTATGGGCGGGAAGTCTTCTTCGCTGCTTTTGTGGCAGACTACAGCGCCACTTACAGGCCTGGCATATGTACTACAGCGTCTCCAGCGCTTTCGAGCGGCAATGGCCGGCCGTGGCCCAACCCCACATTCCCCTGATAGGTGGAGAGTTGGCCCAATAGCCGTCGCGCCACTTCTGTGACGACATAGAAGTGTTCAAATCTGGATCAGTCTGTATCAGATCCGTTGCAGCCCCTTTTTTAGAGATTTGGGTATGGAGGAAAATAGAGAGGGTTGTGTTTTCTGACACTTGGTGAGTTCCCTGGAACACCGGGGACACATATTCATGTATAAAGACGTACAAAAGTGCATTTTGCATGATAGGTCCCCTTTAAGGTAAAAAAAACCTGCTGAAATAAGGTGATAGAAGTGATAGAAGAATACTGCAATAATACTACAATAATACTTTTCTTTTTGCCGCTGCTTCTAATTGAACTATAACTGCACTGTAACTTCTAATCATGTTCCTGTGTTATTCATGTTTTATTACCTGACTGTTTTTAAATGCCATTTTACAACATGTTTCCGCTGCACTATTCCTTTTATGCTCTTAATGTATTTCATTTTAAGCACTTTGAACTGCCTTGTGTTGAAAGGTGTTGTATATATATATATATAAACGTGCCTTGCCTTGCAAACCCACCAGATGCTGTTGTTATCGCTCAGAGAAGCAAAATTATGACTTGTGTAACTCCCTAATTTAAGACAGCTGGTACATAAGAGAGCTGCTGTATTCTCTCAGATCTTAATTGATGTTTGTTGACAGATTTCAGCTCTCCATGTTGTACCATGCAAACTCCACAGGGACTGGCAGCGAACGTCTTATGGTTATAATGCGTCATGTAGACTTTTAAATAGAAACTATTAAATCCCTATTCTTAAAAATGGATAATAGGGCTGAACGATTGGAAAAAAATTATACATTTTTGACTGATATTGGGATAAGATTGTACCAATTGATCAATTTCTTAAACGGTGATTCTCAGTATCATTGAAAAATATGTTAAAATGATCATGGTATGATTATTTAAGATGATCTGTACAAAATAAATATGTTTTATTCTCTCTGCAGAACCACAATACTGCATTTAAAATGTATTTGAACACATATTTAGCCTTAAGCA